ACTATAATATCATGAGTCTAATAAGGTAAAAAGAGCAAATCATTAAAAAACTTAAGGGAAAAATGTTTATAAGCCATACTTGAAAATAGGTGAAAAAATAGCTTGAAGTTACATCATTTTAATAAATTCTCATTGAAAAAAATTAAAACTTCCTAGTTTTTAGAACAGAAATGAAACTATTTTTTTTTTTCGTGTTGCTTAAATAAAACAATGTAATTTTGGGTGATTTTCCACCTACTTTTTTTATAGGTTCAACATATAAACCATAATATCAAAACATATAAAATTATATAAAAAAAAATTATAATAAAAATTGTCCCTTAATCATTTTCTTTCCAAACCAACAATACATGTGTTATGGTCAATCCTACACTGCTTTGGTTTCCATTTTTATGAAGAAGAATATATTGGAATTTACAAGCAATAAGATCTTCTAAGGATGCAAAAAATCCTACATAAATATAACCTATGATTTATATCCTTAAAATTGAAAAATATTATACTTATAATGTCTTATAATTGACTCTTTTCATTTAGTAATTCACTCATGATACTCTATGTATCCACTAATTTAATACTACGTCATGATTGATTGTGACATTATACGCTTATGATATGATGTATTATTATATAATTTACTATTTTGATTAAGTGGTCTACTCGTGATACCATATGTATTTGCTCATTTAATACTACATCATAATTGTGACATTATAAGCTTACAATATAATGTATTGTTATATAATTGATTTCTCTTATTCAGCAGTCCACTTGTGACATTGTATGTATTTACTCATTTAATCAGCAATCCACTTGTGACATTGTATGTGTTTACTCATTTAATACTACATCATGATTGTAAGTTTACTATCTTATATGTCATTATAATTATAGCATTAGTCCCTTAAAATTTTTCTTCTTAATAGCATTGATATAATTACAATATTACATAAGATTTTAAGTTTACAATTATATTATTTAATGAATATATACATACAACATCACAAGTAGGTTTCTAAATAAAAAAGTTAATTATATTATAACATATTATAATTATAAACTTACAACACCAACACCATGTAGTATTGTAATTACTATATCTTTTCCTTCTCCTAATAGAAAAAGGTTCCTCAACTAAAACTAGCTATACAGAATTTGTCTTTAAACTTCTATTTGTTTTAATTAGATCCTTCACAGGAATATAGACATTTACTTATTTGATATATCATATAAATATTGTTGTCTAACATCTAATTAAAAAAATAAAAAGTTAGGTGTGCTAAAATTGTATCCAAACGGACAATATTTTGCTCAATCTGAACTTAGTAACCCTTTCCCCTGTCCTACTGTGCTTTTCCTTTCAAAGAAAAATTACTAGTCGTACTATTCTATTCTACTCTCCTTTTTTCTTTTTTGGCAAGTTTGAATTTCATTTTTTCTTTTTTTAAATCTCTGTTTTTCAATTCAACTTGTATTAAATTATAAAATAAAAATTATTGGATGGAGATGGCCAAGGTCATCTTTATTTAATAGTAATGCAAAATAATATAATTTAGATTGTATAACACTTTTTTAAGTAAAGATCTATTTACATAAAAGTTTTATACCTTATACTTATACAAAATCTCAACTATTCATTACTCTATTTTTAATAATTAAGATTTATTACACTTACTACTCTTTTTTAATATTTGAATTCTGTTGTTAAAATGTTGGGATCAAAGGGCCCGGTTAGAATAACGGATTTCTGTTTTGGACCTATCACTATCAGCTCAGCTTAGCTGAGAGCCAACTAAAAAGCCCAATAACTAAGCGCAAAACAATTTAGACGTCTTTAATAAGAAAGTGGTTTTTATTTTGGGTTTATGCACGAGCCCGCTGTGAGCGCCCTACATATTACTCCAGAAAGTAGAAGGAATTAATTTTAAAACACATGAAAATTGTTTTGAAAAAAAAAAAATAAAGCCGAAATGAAGTAATTGATAACTTAATCTGCTCTAGAATCAGACTAAAATTTTAGTGTTTTACATGTTTCCTGATCTGCTGATTAGTAAGAATTGCAAAGAGAAGTTCATTCCAAGTATCAGGAACACCTGCGAGACACCAATGACTACAGTCGTTTCCATTCTGGCCGTCGATGCCATAAATGGACGGGTGACCATCTTTCCTCAGCTGGGACAACGTAGTTATATCCAGCAAAGTTACCTCCTTCGACATTTTACTCAACACCTCCTTTACAACATCTACCGCCGGTGGTGAGCCGCCGGGATATATTGAACCCTTCACCGGTGTGGTTTCTCCCTTACAGGTTGCTGTTCCTAGCCCGTTCCACTCCTGCCCCCTGTCACACCAATGTAACAAGTCCACATTAGTCATGAACTAATTGATAGCATTCAATAAAAAGTAAAAGGAAAAAGAATTGGGTTTCACTAAACAAGATTCACCAATATTTTAATTTCTTTAATTTTAATAAAAATTTAATTGAGTTAACGGATAAAAAATTAGAATCATCAATTTGTCATTATGAAACCCCTAACTTTTAATCTGTATTAGTAGGAAATAATCCATACCTGTAATGGGTTGGAGAGATGCCTTGAAAGAATACTTGGGTAATTGTAGGGTCAATATTTGAGTCAACCCACTTTGACCAAGTGGTTAATCCTTCCTTAAAGGCAGCCAGACGATCCATGTCTTTCACTAATTTCCCTCCTATTTCCATGTAGTCCCATCTGTGACACAAATCAATTAGTGTACTAAGAAATCTAGATTTTGTTACAAATATGTACTATAATCTACACCTCTATCTCTCTCTCTCTCTCTCTCTTTTTTTCCATTTTTTAAGGAAAATAAAATAAAATCCTTGTGAATCAACAACTTACGGTTTATTGGTATCATTGTGGAGCCACCAGTGCCAAGTGTTGAAGATGAGCACATCATACCCCTTCCATGAATTGCCATTTTCAATGGAGTCGAGTTTTAAGACCCATCCTATCTGTTCTTTCACTATATCTACCAGATATACATTGTGCGACAGGCTCAATGAAACTCCGTAATCCTGCATATGCAAGGTCCAATTTAGATTAAAATTGACTAAAATAGTATTAATGAATAAGGTTGCACGTGACATGCATAAATTTATTAATAGTATTTTTATTCAAATTTTAATAGTTTAGATTGATTTTTTCTTAGTCTGTTCATAATCCAAACTAAAAAATACCAATCTCCAATAAAATCAATTAAGCATGTAAATTTTATTTTTCATGTCTCAATTTGAGCCACAATACACAAGAACATTATATTAAGAATTCCTTATTTTATAGTTGGTTACAATTCAAATTACCAAACAAGTTTTCACTGTATTAACAAATAATCATTTTCGTAAGATCAGTTGATCAACTTACCATCATAAAAAAAGTAGTGACGCCTCCTTTTTGCTCTAAAGTGTAATTGGATTGAGGCAGAGCAGCGTGCAACATGCAGGTCAGAGACTCCCAGTGGTTATGGCTTAGAGAATCCCCTACAAGCAGGATTTTCTTCCCCTTCATCCTCCTCAAGAAACTCTCACCGTTAAATCTAATAATAACTTACAATTAGAAAATTGCATAGCAATACCGCATATACAACAAAATAGCTATCCTGTTTCTCAAATTCATTAGATCAAACTTGAGACCCATAATGTGAATTGTCCATCAAACAGTTATGACATTTAATATGAATGTAAAACTTAAAATAAAATAAAATCAAATAATTACCTGGGGAGTGTGCAAGTAGCAGGCTGCCATTTATATTTGAGATACTGATTGTCTGGGCGACCATTTCCCTGGCAGTTGAACTCTTTCTCCACAAACGGGCAAGAAGAGGTATCATAGAGAGGATAGGTTTCATCAAAAACCCAACTCCCCTGGAACAAATTACAACCCTCAAGTTTCACCTTACTACGCTTGTGCATTTTCCCACATGATATTTGAGGAATGCTTGATATCAGGACAAAAGAAAAGGCAGCAAAACAAAAACTATGGAACCTACACCCCATTCTCAAGACAGAGGACAAGTTGAACCTGATAATGAATTAGCTAAGCTAGTGAGGAACGAGACCTTAATACTGTTACCCATATATATATACATCAGACCATGAGAGTTTGTTGCGAAAAGGTGCCCGCAATCACCATTAATGTGGCTCTTATTACCGTGCAAGTTCAGAGAATTAAGTTCTATAACGCATTACTGTTACGGCAAGTCAGGAATAATATAATTACAACACTATAGTAGTTGTACTAAACTTACAACATATACTATGATGTGAGTGTATTATTTTATAATTCAAATTGTAAAATAAGAGTTATTAAAAAAATTAATATTTTATAATTTAAAATAGTTTAGAGAGTAAAAACACATTTTCATTACCATATGCTATAAAAATTTAGTATTAAAGTATAAAAAAAATTAATCTAAAGATACTAACAATAAATAAAAGAAAAGAAAGTGAAGGTAAAAAAGAGAAACGATCAATTAAACATGATTTCTTCTTAAGGCAATACTATTACTGATACGTTCTTTATTACAGTTATTGTGATAATTATATATTTAAAGATCATCCTTTTATGTTGTGATGCATGTACTAAGATTTATGCACTATAAATTAAAAATCTATCAAAAGTTGGTTGAGAACGTGAAATAATGAATCCACTAGGGATTTTTGTCTTTGGTGGTTGGTTTTACTTTTATTCTTTGCAACTTGCTCTGTTTTCATCTTTTGGGCTTTTTCTGGAATGCCGTAAAAGGGTAATGTCTCATCATATCAATCTGCACTGCAGGGCATGCTCTGGAATGGATGATAAAACATCCTTCTAAGGAAAGGTTTTCTCTTTTTGGATTGATTCTTAAAATTTTTTCTATGATATACTGTGAAGTGGAACGAAATACTCTTGATCCTAATTATTTCCAAGATCCATTTTCTCTTCTACACAATTATTACAATATTAAAATGTATCGTATAATTTACTTTATATCAAACCAAATAACTTAAATTATCAAATAAGATAAATGTTATGTCATTGAGATTTTTTTAATAGCTATTAATATTGAGATTGTCTCAATCTCATTTAACAATTTTTATTTTATAATTTAAATTATAAAAAAAAAAAAAAAAAAAACTCTTATTACAATATATACATTATACAGCACTAGCTATGTATTGGTAACCTGGCGTTCAGAGAAGATAATACTGAATAATGGTATGATTCCAGAATCCGGCGGGGTATGGCGCTGTATAAAAGAGAAATAGTGAAGTTGATGAATTATGAATGTGCATATATATAAGAATGCTTCGTGTTAGCTGTTAGGTATAACAACTCTTTGTATATATTCTACGTACTCCACTAATTTCTGTGAACCTTTATAATATTTTAACCACAAATCTTGGACTAAATTAATCCGACACACTATTTTTCTTTTATGGTGTGGTTACGTTAAAAGTGTTTTAATTGCCTCTTTTATTTATATATTAATTTGCATAAAAATAAAAAATTGCATTAATTTTAATATTTATGTCATAAATATTTTTAATTAACAATTAATAAAATTAATATCAATTTTTTTATTATTAATATCTCTTTTTTTATAGAAAAATAAAAATATGCAATAATTGTACATTTAAAAAAATCCTAATGAATATAGTGCAGTTATTATTATTATTTTTTTGAATAGAGTTACATCGTGGGGCATGGGGGAGTGATAAGGACTTGAACTCGAGTTCGGTGAAAAGCAGGATGTGAGGAGCAACCAGTTGCTCTATTGAGAGCTCCTCGAATATAATGGAGTTATGTCAAAGAGAATATATATATATATATATATATATAT